CTATCATTAGAATTTCTTTGTTCCTTTGTCATTTGCCGAAGTAAATAAACAAAGATTCAACTAGTTCTCTTTTCAAGATACTTGACATTGTCTCTACAATACATGCATAATGAGAACCTAAGTGGAACTCAGGTTCACATTAGGGGGCATAGAGAAGAAGAATATGTTTAACACTTGTTGAAATTTGTGGACAATTTATAAGTTGAAGTTAAACCAAAATCATTGTTTAACACTTGTTGAAATTTGTGGACAATTTACAAGTTGAAGTTAAACCGAAATCATTGTTTAACACTTGTTGAAATTTGTGGACAATCTACAAGTTGAAGTTAAACCAAAATCGTTGTTTAACACTTGTTGAAATTTGTGGACAATTTACAAGTTGAAGTTAAACCGAAATCGTTGTTTAACACTTGTTGAAATTTGTGGACAATTTACAAGATGGAAGACTGAGGTTAAACACTTGTTGAAATTTTGTATTTACAAGGTGAAACCAAGATTACGCCAAGAAAGGTAGTTAGTTACTTGCCAAGATAAATCATCAGTCTGTACAACCGAGGTGTGTCACCCCGAGGAGGTTGCACAAGGATTGAAGTGTATATTGAAGACATGCAAAAATTTCTAAGTATAGAATCATACAAGAGCAGTAAAGAGAAGACAAAGATACAAGTGCTCAGAGAAGGAAAGCTGTATTAATATTCGAAAAAGGCACGTCGGCCAAAAGCTTATAATTGTTCCCAAAAGAAGAAAAGCAAAAGTACAAAAGATGGAAGAAAATAACATCAAAATTAAGAGTCTTCAGCAGCAGGCTGAGTTTGGACCTCGGAGGATTGCTGAGAAGACATCTCGACAACCTTCTCGGCCGCAAGTTCAGCGTCGATTTCTTGTAGGGTTTCATCTAGGCTCTTATCGACAAGAGGAACATCGGATAAAGCTTTCTCTGGAGCAGCATCTTTGCGAACTTCCTCATCCTCCTCATCTTGAGTCAAATCCAGGACTTGCTCATTTTGAAGAGGAGACTTGGCCCCAACAGCATCTTTGGACTTCCTCACCAAGGTCTCCTCCTCAGATTCGGAGTCATCATCAGATTGAGCTGGAGTTGGTGTTAGAGGGAATGGAAGAGGAATGGCGTCGGCGTTTCTCAAAGGCGAGTCCTCAGGGACATTAAGCTTTTTTAGAAAGGACATCTAACCAAGGGTGAAACCCTTGTTGCATTTTCGTAGGCCTCCGTGACATCGGCCATGCCCTGGGCGTACGCCTTCTCGTCGGCATCCTTGATTTCAGCCTCTTTGGTGGCCAAGGCCTCCTGCAGCTCTTTTTGGGCCTGGGCCATCTTCACCTCGGCCTCTCTTTTTTGGGACTCAGCAACCTTCCTAATGGCCTCAGCAGAATCAAACTTCTCTTCGGCATCGGTCTGAGCCTTGATGGCAGCTTCGGCCAGGTCCTCTAACTTCTTCATTTTCGATTGAAGGCTTGTGTTGGCTTTTTGAAGAGTAGAGAACTCCCTTTTCATCTCGGTCAACCTCTCCCGATTTTCAAAAGATTGAATGGAGAAAGAATGAGCATGCTGGATGGCCTGAAAAAACACAAGATAAAAGTTATTGCAGAATCTTCTAAAGTACAAGAAAGGAAAAAAATTGCCAGGTAAGGACACTCACTTGAACAGAACGCTGGAGCATCAAAGCATAATTTCCGTACTCGCTTAACTCGGCGTTCCGGTCGAGATCGCCGAGAAGAAGTAGAGCAGTACTGAGGGCGACACCGACGTTAATATCATCAGCGCTATCACTAGCCATAACAGGCTTATCTTCCAAAGTAATCTCGGGGGTCCAGGGGGCATTAGGCTTCTTAGACCCCGAGGTCGTTGCAGAAGATGACCTCGACTTTTTTTATTTTGGCGATTCAGATGGTTGGGCCTCAGAGCGCCTCTTCCCAGCAGAGGGTTGAGATTTGTTACTCTCAGCCAACTTGCAGATTGGCAAAGCATCCTCAGACTCAATTTGAGTAACTTTAGCCTTTGGCTGAGCCTTTTTCGTTCTTTTCAGCTTCGGTGGAGGCAGGGTTTGTATTGATTGAGCATCAACATCAGTTGAAATGTTGGCTAGAAGATCTTTAGCAATTGGTTTTGGGCGGCCCATCTCGGCAGTAAGAACAAGTCGTCGCCGACATTTTCGTTGGGATATCGGAATCATATACGGAGCCGAGGTCGACGGCTGATCAGTTGGATCCGAAGTCGATCCTTGGTCTGTCCGAGATGTGGACGCGACTTGTGGAGTTGTGGCAGATGGTGGAGAAAGGCTTTTCTTCTTCTTTTTTGGAACGCCGGGGAGAGTTGATTTGTAAGTGGGGATAAAATTGAGAAGCAGAAGGGCCTTCTGCTTATGAGCTGGTAACTTTAGTAGTTTCCTCAAGTCTTTGCTGGGAAAGAAAAACTGGCGGAAGCCCTTTGGTGGCTGAGGAAGAACTGCAAAAGAAGAAAGAAAGCATAGACATTAGAACAAAATGTTGAAGACATTATGCAAAAAAAAAAGCAAGAAAATTTGTGAAGGGTGGCCCTTACCTGCTCCTTCCCCGAAAACTGTTCGACTAAGGGGATAGAGATGGAGGTCATCGTTTGGCTGAAACTCCCAGTTTCCCGAGACAATAAAGTAATCATCCTCCGCTTCTTTGTTGGAGTCAGGGAGGTCGGCAATGATTTTATACTCAGTAGACTTAGGCTTGAGGTAATAGATGTGGCCTTTTTCCAATTTCAGGTGACACATGGTATAACAGTACTGGAAGTCGGCAAGAGTAATCCTAGCATTCTCTTGTTTGGCTAAGGCTATGGTACCATTAATAACGCGGTAGGAATTGATGGCGAGCTGCATTGGATTCAACTTATAGAAGTGAAGGATTTGATGGAAAAAAGGGTCAAGTGGAAACCTAAGTCCACACTCAATAAACGCTACTATTAGAAAGGGCATGACGTTTACATCGGGCATAATAGAGTCATCCTCCCCAGCCAACCTCAAATGAACGTCGGCCGGGATTTCGAACTCCTGCCTAAAGTACTCTAATTTTTTCGGGGTGTTTATCCTATGTTCCTACATACCCATGATGTCGGCTTAAATGGGGATATCGGATTTCAGGAAGAAGTATTTTTGGAAGGTTTAAAGGACCTCGGACAAAAACCTAAAAGTACACTTTGGTAAGGGTTTGTATGGATCTAGAAGGAGTTCGTTTCAGTTTTTCCTAAACACTTATGGGTTCTATAGACAAATCCCAAACCTAACTCTATGGGAGCAAGATTGGAGGCAGAAATCTGGAAAAGACACAGAAAACAGAAAAACAAGAACGTCTTTCAGAATCAAGAATAAGGGGGAACTACCAAGAACACTGTGACAGAGTGTGTGAAAGGGTACAAGGTCAAGAACAGTTGCAACAATTGCAGAAAAATTGTGAGCAGTGCAAGTATTCAAGACATAGACAAAGAACAAAATCATGAAATAAACACACTCAGATACGAGATTCATGATTCAAATGTTTGAGTAAAACAACAATAGCGACTAATGATAAAGTAAAATTTCTTGAAGCGCAACAAGAATTGAAAACAAAAGGAACATCAGCTTACCAGAAAAAGTGAAGCCGGTATGAAGATCGCCAAAGTCAGGCGACGGTTACAGAAGTAGCAGAACGGCGAAAGCTTCACCAAAAGGGAGGACTGAAGGCAGTTGCAGAGCTTGAAGTCTGGAGCAATGGCGGATTCAAGAAGAAAAAGTAAGAGAGAGAAAAAACAAGAGAATCGAATGAAAAGTGAAGAAATGAAAGAAGAAGGAAAAGTTTTTGTTAAAACTTGAAACGGCGGCAAGACAGAGCTAAATGTGCCTAAAACAACGTGAGCGTCAGACGGCGCACGTATGTGCGAGACGATTAAGAAACACGTACCAAGTACGATCCAATAAGAAAAGGACACGTAGCCGAAACAGTTGAATTGTGATATATGACAGCTCATACGCGTGAAGAAGCCTTTGAGATTCTTGATCTTGAAGAGGACATATCGGCTTACGATGATGATCTCGGCTTAAGCCGATGTACTAGCATAAGGTACTGATATAGGTTTCATCACATCAGAAAGCCGAGGTAATAGAACCTAAGAGGCAGTTGTGGAGATATATTTTCTAAGTACCAACACGTGGCCAAGGTGACGCCAACGTGTCAGCCGAGGTGCCACGTGTCCTGGTCATGACACCGAGGTTATCTCTGCAAGGCCGAGGTGACCTCCAAAGATATCGGAGTCCGACATAAGCGGATAAGGCACAAAAGTCCTAGAAAGGGAGAAGACTTCAGTTAAGAAAGGATAAGGCTCTTAGGGAGTTTATCCCAATCCTACTGGGAGTTAAAGATTAATAGTAATCCTAAGTCCTTTAGAGCTAGGCTCCTGTTGGGACAAGGATTGAGTTAGCTATAAAAGAGAGGCACCTCCGTGGGTCTAAGGTACGCAATTTATATTCTGACTAGTGAGTTTGCACTATTGATTATCTGTGAGAGATATACTGACTTGATCGTCGGAGTGCCCCCGGGTGGACGAACCACCGCCCGAATCTTCTCTTTCTGTTGCAGGTTAGACAGGTGTCATCTATTCTGCCAGTGCTCTCCAACTGAATACTAAGTTGGCAGTGTGGTCGGAAAATCACCCACACACAAACAATGTTGTATCATAACTATTTGATTGGAGGAGCATAAAAGCACATTGTATTTTAGACGATAGGTGATCCATTCATAATATGGTTATATTATTGTGTTTCAGAAAAAAATTTCATGGAAGCCGGACCATTAAAATGATATCCGTAAGCGTACACACAAAAAGAAAAAGAAAAAATTATGTACATGACATTAAACCTCAACGTGAATTATTTGCCTTTTGGTATTCAAAATCACAGAGCATGCTTGTACACTTGGAACACAATCAATGCTTTCTTGTGATGGTTTGTATTGACATAGGAGGAGGCTTTGCCCCTGTGTAGGGACTATTGCATGCAAGCTGGAAATAGGCAGCCAAGCATGAGATTATGGTTCATGGCTGAGACACGTGGACTCTTCTATTTCCTTCCATCTGTGTTCACCGGATATAACAAGGGTCAAGGTATGGAATATATGTTCAAAACTTGTAACCAATGTAGATGTTTGAATCCTTTAATTTATTACAATGTATGAAGAAAAATTTACATTCGCTAGTTAAAAAAAAATGATTCTAGCCTCTCAGATGGATGAGGTAGAGAAATTTTATATATTTTTTTCTAAAATTATACTATTTAATTTGTAGTACATTTTTATACGATTTACAACATTTTGAGAATATTATACCATATGCAATGTGTCCATGACACGTCTCCGTACCCATATTTCAATATTCTAAGATTTAAGTTTGGGACAATTTACGATAGTAGTCCTTGTACTTTATCCCTTGTGTCATTTTAATCCCTATATTTTCAATTGACTCGATTTTGATCATAAATTTATGATTTTGTTTCAATTTAGTCCAATTGATTATAGTTTTTAGTATTTTTTTTAATAGAAAATACGCACATAAGTGTCAAGTGCCATATTTTTAAAGGCAAAATTATAAACTTACTCAACTCACTTAAACTCAACCAATTTAGTGTCAATTTTCCTTAAAAAATACTAACAATATTATTAATTGGACCAAATTGAAACAAAATCTAAAATCAAAGGGCAAAATTGAGTCAATTGAAAGTATATGGATCAAAATGACACGAGGTAAAATATAGGCACCACTGGTGTAATTTGCCCTTAAGTTTATAAAGGTCACTTGTATCGTTTTTATTCGATACTTGTATCCAAGTCTGTTAGTAATGGGCGCCCATGTGGCATGACCATTAAATTTGAATTTGAATCCTTATCCAAATAGGTTTTGAATTTGAAATCAAACCTATTTAGGATAACCACTCAAGAAACAGATGTTATCAGTTTTAAACTGATATGGATAGATGTTATAATATAATATATATCTGTTATATGGTTATGGGTAATCCAAGTGAGAAACAACGATAGTCTGTTTCTACCCATATACTGACTCTCTCACTCACTTAAACTCAACCAATTTAGTGTCAATTTTCCTTAAAAAATACTAACAATATTATTAATTGGACCAAATTGAAACAAAATCTAAAATCAAAGGGCAAAATTGAGTCAATTGAAAGTATATGGATCAAAATGACACGAGGTAAAATATAGGCACCACTGGTGTAATTTGCCCTTAAGTTTATAAAGGTCACTTGTATCGTTTTTATTCGATACTTGTATCCAAGTCCATGTAAGATTGGGTGAGACAGCCACATAATTGGAGGCTAGTGCATCTAGAGGTTATTGGTGTACTCAATTTATGTCTCTCCTATGCTTTTTTGTACTAATCTTCTCTTAAATTGTTTCAATTCTAAATAGTGTTAGGCCAGAGAGCTATAGATTGATGCAAAAAAACACACACAAGAGAGAAACACACAGAGTTTACGTGGTTTAGCCCAATGCCTACGTCCACGAGTAGCGGAATTCTATATATTTGGAGAGATTATAATTCACTCATGTTTCCTCACCACTCTCTTCTTCTTCAAATTCAATGTTTGCAAACAAAATACATTTCATTACCTTTCTATTTATAGGTTTCTTCCGAGGATGAGATGCACAAGTGGCGATGCCAAAACACCGCATTTCGGATGCGTTCGGGAAGTTTCAAGGTGCCTTCATTGTTGACCTTCAGGAGCTTCAATTCAAAATGGTTTTCTTCAGCTGCGTCTGGATCATCCAAGAGCTTTCATCTTGATCCTTCGAGTCTTCTACAAGGAGAGAAGCCAATCTTCTCTTTTGTTCTTTCTTGATGGAGAAGTTGAAGCCAACTTCCTCACAAATAGGTGCTGAACTTGATGCACTGTAATGAGATGTAGGGTGTGGATTCCCCATCTCGAGCTGGGGGTATTTTTGTAGTTATTTATTTGTTTAAAGGGTAAATTAGACTGTTTGTTCCTCTTGCTTGAGCGAAATTTTATTTTGATCGTCGTTTCAATTTGAATATCTATACGTTTTTAGTTTTGTTGTAGTGGGGTTCATTTGTTATTTATTGCTAGAGTTTTCAATGGAAAAAGAATGTGTGTGCAATTCACGAGAGATTTTTATCAATTTCTCACGAGAAAAGAAATAATAAATTACACTGGCAGTCCTATAGTTTATTTGAATTTTACTTTGGTCCTTTTAGTTTTCTACATGTTGGTTTTTCATTCAAAATGTTAACGGTGTATGATGGAAGGATAATATTGTAATAAAATTAAAAGTATTAAGGTTCAAATTATAAGTACTTGTATTAAAATGATACTTAAATTACTAGACTAATGATGTAATTTATCTATGTTTAAACTGGAATGACAAGGCCCCCTCCACCTGGTGGGTTGCCTTCGACAGTATTGCTGCTGACCCAACAAACCATTCTTTGTGTTGATTGGATAAATTACCTCATTAGTCCTTCCATCTTGAGTGAATTTTTACTTTGATCTTTATAGTTTTAATAATTTGAATTCCATACTTTAATTTTATAGCAATGTGAAAGTATAAGAATGATATGATTTATTGTGATATTGGTTATGACTAGAATTTAAGCTAAAAGATTAGAAACCAAGTTTAAAAATTATGGTATAGGAGGGGTAAAATATTCCGACCTTAAACTACAAGGAAGTAAAATAATTTTGCCAAAATGATACTAATTGATCTCTACGGCTCCCCAAAACAAATAACTACTTTAACAAAATATTTTATTATTATTATTTTGCATATAGAAAAACTCATTAGTTTAAGTTTGGTTGGTTTAAATAACAAGTCAATTTCAAATGAATTTTTAAAATATTAAAAATAAGTCGAGTTTGAGTCCTTGTCTGGTTTAGATTGATTTTTTGAATTTTTTTTTAGTGAATTTTTTTTAATATTTTAAGTAAAGTTTTTACTTTCTAGACACATAACTTAGAAGCACCTAAAAAGTAAATTATTTGTGAAAAAATATTTAAAAAATTCAATAAATACAAATAATGTAAAAATATATTTATTTCTTGTATTTTTTTTTTTAATTTGATGAATTTTTTAAAAGATTTTTTTTTTTCAATAAATATACTTTTTAGTGTATCTAGGCTAGAGCATCTCCAGCGCCTTAACAAATTTTTCATTAAATTTGAGTAAAAAATTGATGAAAAGTTTGATATGATGCACTGCAATAGTAAATTTAAATTTTTTATCAAATGTTGTTACAAGCCTGGTTGTCTAAGAGGATGTTTGGGCGGACGTCCAACCATGAGTGAAAATTGACGTTCAGATAAAGAAAGCCCGGTTGTTTGGGAGGATGTTCGGGCGGATGTCCGGCCTAACAGCTACTTACAAAATTTGATGAAATGACAAAACTCCATGATTCGATGAAAAATTTAACTCTTCCCTCATTTGATATCGATTTAATGAAATAGTTGGAACTGGATTTTAACACGTACGTTTTTCGTCAAATTTGAATTTGATGAAGGATTGGAGATGGCCTTAGGTGTATTTAAAAAATCAAAATATTAAAATTTTCTACTAAAAAAAACAAAAAATAAAAAACTAAATTTTATTGAAAGTGGGTGTTTTTTTTCGTAAACTAAAGGGGGAGTTATTTGATATCAACTTCATATATATATATATATATATATTTAAAAGGTTTATTTTCAAAATGTTACTTGTCTATTTTTTATTTTTTTATTTTTAAGATAAATATAATGAAATCATGTCTAAAATTTGATGAAACGTTTGAAAATGGTCTAATAAGATTTTTTTTTTTTTTCTCTTATCCATGGAGATTTCAACCCATCTGCTTGAATTGATTGCTTTTTAATATTGCAATAAATCAGGACTCAAAGACATGGTTCATATAGCAATATTTTTCCCAAGGTTGGGCTTATCTCCTGGCCTGATTTGGATATTATTCGGGCATATGAGATTTGTTATAGGTTTTATTTCAATAATTCGAACCGTTTATTTTGTCGTATATCGTTAATGAAAGAAAATTAATTCAATTTGATTATTGCAGCTTATTCATTTTATCATGTTTGTTTATAAAAAAATGAACAACAAATATATTTTTAAAAATAGATTATCAATTTTTTTTAGACAAATACAATAAAATAAAGAAATTATGATTATTCGATCAATTTAATTTTTTTCATGAACGATATACACGAAAAATCCTACAAAATAAACAATTCGAATTATCGAAACAAGATCAGTAGTGGATCTCATAAGCCCAAATAACACTCTCTGGTCCAAATCTAGAGTCAAACCCAACCCATTTTTCAATAATATCAGAAACACTAACTAGTATACTAAGAAACAAAAAATTATTACACAAGTCTGCCTCATATCCTACGTGTATGCCCTTAATACTATTAGTTATATACCCACTACTTCCTATTTTTTCTCTTGTATATTACATAACGCAACCACTATCATCTGATAGACACGCAGCTTAATTAGAATTTTTGAAAGTAATGGTTCCACGTGCGTAAAATTTCTAGCATATAATTGATTTTTCTTTGAAGATATGGACACACTAGTCTTGGTCCTCCACCATCCTATTGCCGTCTTGTAAATTTCATCCAGGTCTTTTTCTCTGTTTCAACTAGAATTCTTTTTCTTTTTTTAAAATTTGAATGGTTCACATTCGGAATTTTCAGATTATAAATCGTATATACCACCCTTATAAAAAAAAAGAAGAAAAAAAATCGATCTCCCATCAAGTCTAGTTTCTCACCTCTTATTTATCAATCACTTCCACATTATCTTCATAAGCTATTCAAACTTGATCTAAATACTCTAGAAGCTACTTTACTCATTTTTAATTGATTTTGAGTTAGATGTTTGAACATCATCTTCAAAACTCATTTCTATTGCAAAATGTATTTTTAGAAATTACAATAACCAACTGGCGAATCTGTATATCTCACAAGGAGAGGTCAACCGTTCGAATCTTTCTGCTTGTGTGTGAGTGATATTGTATGTATATTTATTGAGGCTTTCTTATTCTATTTTGAGAGGTTTTTTTGTACTTACTATATATGTCATGTTTGATAGACTTTCTTGTAATGATAATTTATTGAATTGAATTTTATTGTAACATCATATATGAATAAAATAATGGGTGATTCTATTTACATACCACTAATACTCTTAGTGCACACTATTAACAGATTAAATTTATATCTTAATAATATCTTCCAATGAAATGACCATTAAGGACAACATAGGGTGTATTCTACCCATTTAAAAATTTCAAATTTAAAAATACAAAATACTCTTCACATATCATCATCGCCATAGGGTTTAGGGTTTTAACATATAAACATTGTATTTTTTCATTATCTTCACTATTAACATACATTCATGATATCTGAAAATTCTAAGTGATTCGTGATTAGATCAAGATTTAATTACTTCAATTCTCAATCATTCAAAACTCACAATCTAAATCATCAAGCACTTACGAAAGTGATTTAGATTGCTGTTTTCAAAAAACAATGAATCGACACAAACAATTTTTACGTAGAAAAATCACAATTGAAGCACCTTCAATTGGGATAAAAAAACCACGGGCGAAACACCACTAATCAATCCACTACTGAAGAAGGAAAGATTATAAAGATAACAAATAAATTACACAAATGCTTCCGATTTGTTTTCAAATCTTCTGTATATCTTTCACCGCAACCTTCGTCTCGGGATTGATTAGATTGAAGTTGAATCCACAACTTCTATTGTCGAATCAACGACTACGCACAATATCAAACTCCTTTGAAACTCCACGCTTGAATCTCCGGATTCCACCGAAGAAGAACACTCTTGAATATGACCAATCAACCTCCTTGATATGTGCTTATCAAAACATGAGTTTAATACTCACTCAAATCATCAAGGAAAACTCACAAAAACTCCAAAAGAAAACCTTAGGAAGCCTTAAAGTAGATCTCCAAAACCTAATCCTAGTTTTGGACTAAAACTAGTATTTATAGAAAACTGGGACAGCGAAGCTCGCTCGAGCGAAGACTCTCTCGCTCGAGTGAGGAACTAATCACGCGTTTTTTCCTTAAGTGGCTTCGCTTGAGCCACGCTACCTGCGCTCAAGCGTATATTCATCATTCTTAGGTTTTTTACAGACGCAGCCTTTGCTCGAGCAAGGACTCCTTCGCTCGAGCGAGCAAGACAAAAAACTTAGAAAAAATACAACTTGATAAAAACATGTTTGTCCACGGGATTGACAAGAGTAAGGGAGCTAACAATCTCCCCCTTTGTCAATTCCCGGACAAAACATTCTAACAATTTCTTAGTCAAACACCAGTTCTAAAGAAAACAACCAACCTAGCTTAACAAAACAACCTGAACCAAACATCTGCAAAAAAATAAAAATAAAATAAAAAATAAGAAAATAATAAAAAATAAAAAAATCACGAAGAAAAAATAAGAAAATATAGAGAATAAAAAAAACATATTAAGACATAACACGTAGGTCATAATGTAAGGAAAAACTAGTCCAGTGCTGCCTGCAAAATCCACAATAAGTATGCAAAATCAACATATATCCCATCAACATATATCCCATATTTACCCCCCAAAAATTACCCAAACCAATACTCCCCATTTTTGTCCAGGAGAGACAAAAAAAACAGTTATATACAGACCATAAGAAAAGAAAAGAAAAACAAACAGTCCAAAAAACACAGTCCAAATACTGTCAAAAACTAGGAGTCTGATGGTGGTGGCTGCTGCATTTGGAGCAAGGAAAAAATCTGGGCTAGCATTGTGCTTTGCTGATCAAGACGACCATCAAGTGTATCTAGGCGAGCATCCAACAGATCAAGTTGATGTATGACTGACTGCTCGAACTATTGCAGCTGGCCACGAAAGGAACACGACTGCATCTCAGGCATCTCTGAAGCACCACCAGCGGCTGCATCATACTCGGCCTCCTCAACTAAGGGATCATCACCTGTATCAGTACCCCCGACTCCCGATGGACCCCCCCGAAAATGAGCTTGAATATGAGCTTGACTTTAAGACACGGTTAACTTGGTAATGGGTTTAACAGGAGAGGCAAATTCGTCATCCTC